ATTCGGAGAAATGTGAAAGGCGTTTCCTTTTCTAAGGCATTTTGCATCGTTTTTTGTTTGAAATGATGCAAAATATATCCGTTTTGCATACAGAATCTTGCAGGAATTTACCTGTACAAAACGTACGAGTTCAGCAAAGTTAATTCTGGCACTATTTTAGAAATTATAGAAAATGGGATTTGAACATTTTGTTCCTTGCTCTGTTTCTCAACATGAAAATCATGACCCAAACTTTCCACCCGCAAGATTAAAATCGAATTCTTCTAAATGTTTAGGCTGCTATACTGTTATCTAAGTCTGATTGGTAGTTAGACTAATATTGAACATCAAAGTGTAAGAAAAATATATTTTTCTTCCTTGAAAACTCATTTCACTAGGTTTTTATTGAAAGAAAACGTGTTTCGTAACGTTCAACCAAGCATTGCTTTAAATATTGAACAATTCGAAAAGATTTAGTAAAGACTGATGCTAGTATAATGTGTACGACAACTTTGTTTATTTATTTGTGAACAAAAGAATCTCGAGTTATTTATAATTTGAATAATTATTGGTATGAATTCATATTGGACTACTTGATAGTGACTGATGATACTGTGTACAATACTCTTAAATATGATTTTAGTTCGTACTTTGTTAATGTAAGCGTGACTTATTAATAAAAAGAATATTTGATTTACAGAAGAAGATTCTTTGCATTTAGTGATACTTTTGGATAAAAGGATGACGAATTTACATATACAAAAATCTATCAAATAAAGAAAACAATTCAAAAAATTTATTTTTAAATTTCTTAAAATTTATATCTAAGAGACTCAACTTGTTTAAATATTAAATACAATTTAAATTAATTAAAATCGTTTCAATTGGGTATTTAAATTTAAATTTAAACAAGTTCAAATGAAAAATATACCAAGAGGTGATCAAACTCGTTATTGGGTATAGGCACCAAGGAAATGATAATTTTTAATCTAATAGAATGGGATACTGAAAATCTAATTTAGTAAGTTTACGCAAGACTCTGAAAGACTATAGAATAAGCACTGATATCATTAGATTATTTTAGTTGAACGGTTTGTACACATGTCTTCTACTCTTATGGTCTCGTGTTCGAATCTATGTATTCGCTTTATCAAAATTGATCTAAGTTAAAGCTCTAAAGGTGTATGAAAAATGTAAGCGAGTAAATTAATTGTATCTGAAACTCATAGTGCATGAAGTACTTGACGGTTTTCATTTTTTTCCATCTAGAATATACGACACCACAGTTAGAGAAACGCTACGAAACGTTTGGGTGTGGGTGTGGGTGGGGTGTGTGTGGGTGTGGGTGTGGGTGGATGGGTGTGGGTGTATGTGGGTGTGGGTGTGGGTGTGGGTGTGGGGTGTGAGTAGTTGTGGGTGTGCGGATGTGCGGATGTGGGTAACACAGAATAAGATACCGATACCCACACCGACCGACACCCTCACCCACACACCCACACCGCCACACCCACCACCCACACCCACACACCCACACCCTCAATTTACTTTTTTTCCCCTAGTGAACGTGTATGTAATCGTCTTGGTATCATGTATAATGATCAATTAGCTTGTTTGGGTACAATCCAACATTTGAAATCAAAATTTAGTCAAGGTTACACAATTGATATTAAAGTTCGTTCAACACCTAATGGTACAAGCATGGCAACTATTCAAAATGTACAATCATTTTTATTATCACAAAGTCAATTGCATGTTGAAACTAGAGAAATAGCACATTCAACAGACTAATTTCAAATTAAACAAAGTACACCAGCAGATCTATTTGAATTACTTGAACAACATAAACAAAATTTAAATATTGAAACATATACAATATCACAAACAACCCTAGAACAAATATTTTTATCAATTGGTAAAAAAATTGATGCTGATTTATAATGAACGTTTTCATCAATAGATTTTGTTATTTAATGACAGAATATCAATAGATATATTTGTTTCATTGTTTCAATCTTTATTTATTTTTATTTTGCTTTTTTTGTTCTGCATTTAATCATGTTGATATGTATATCTTCAACGTGCAGAAGATCAAATATACGATGACGCTAAGAAGCTGCATATTCTAATTCAAGCTTTAAAAAACGTTAATATCTTTTATATAACTTAATGTAATCTTATACCAACATTATAGAGCACATGTTAAATTTTGTAGATATTTTCACGAAAATGAGGGTGTGGTTGTGGGTGTGGGTGTGAGTGTTCCTCTCGTAAACAGCCACAGCCACACCCCCACACCCTCAAGATAGTTTTCTAAATTGTCTTTTGGTTTGTTTGTCAAAGTGACGTCTTCTAATATATTAAAGACTTTAATCAAAAACAAAATATATCAAACATTTTGTTGCATGATCAGTTGATTATTTTATCTCAAAAGATAGAATATCTAGACGATTGCTATCATTCTTCTATTTCCTTGATTTTACGGACGATACAAACTATTGTTGACCTTTCTTTGAAAGAAGCAATTGTATTTATTCTTTCCAACAGATTTTTTTTCATATGAAATGCATTCTTTTCATAATATGATCATTTGCCCACATCATTTCTATTTCACATATATAATTAAAAACTCAAATAGACCGACTAATATAGACGAATTGGTCTATATTTAGTTGAAATAGATGATAATTATTTAGTAATACAGAAAGGTAAGGATAAGTGAGAAAATACTTGTAAAAGTGAATATTTTGATATTTGTTAAGGATGTGAACGTGCCTCATGGGTTATACAAATGTTAACAAAAGAACATATAGACTCACTTGAATAATGTAAGATATTTTTAATTCTCATTCATTCTTAATGCTTAACAATTTGAATTTCTTTTTCAGTTTTTCAACATAATAATATTCTTAAAATAAATGAAATGAAGAGTATTGCCGCACATCTTAATATATTGCATGATTATATTCGAGTAAGATAATATTTTTCTATTTTAATTGATGTTCTTATTTTATATTTATTTCTAGACATAGTTCAGATATCGTCTCTTTGAAGAACTTGCTCTCTTCAGGGTGTGGGTGTGTGGGTGTGGGTGTGGATGGGTGGGGTGAGGTGTTGGTGTGGGTGTATGGTTGTGGATGTGGGATAGTTCTTTTATTACATTCACACTCACACCCCACACCCACACACCCACCCTTTTTAAGATGTTGAGTTTCTTTTGGAATGTCAATGTCATGTTTACATCATTTATTTCATTCACAGTTTGAATGACGGCGATGTATATGTGCTTGCAGATAAGCATTACTTGAAAATGCATGTTCACAAGTAGAACACTAAACAAAAACAAGGAGATTCATTTAATATTTATTAGAAATCGAACGATTTATTCAACTCTTTTTATACCTTATGATAATGTGAATCTTGTGCCATCAAATTTCTTTGTTGTGCTGGAACTATTTTTTGACTCTTTTTCGATTCATTTTTTGTTTTAGCTAGTTCATTTTTCAATTTGTCAGTGTGTTGATGCACATGTTCTTGATCCTATTTTACTTTAGAATTAAATTTTTTAGCAATAAAAAAAGAAAAGATTATTACGACTTACGGAAAGATCCTGAACAAACAATTCTTGTACCTCGCCTATACTATTCGAGGATGAATCTACGAAAGAATCAAGAAATATCTTGCCATTTTCGAGTTTCGATTTGAAAAATAGAAAAACGTTTTTTGCTAGTGTTATAAAACCAGTAATCACCATCTCATTCAAATAAACACATGCCCACAGCCAGGAGTATCGTGAGGTCCTCAAGACTGGGAGTCAACTAATTTTTTTGAGAATCAGTGATCAAAAGAAACCAATAAAATGTTTGACCTTTGCTGGGAAAAAACAAAAATTTTTCAAGATTTGGGGTGAATCCCCGCTCGCGACAGCTCTGCCCACAGTCATACCTTATCAATGAATGATCGAGAGATCAAAGACAAAGACGATGCCATACGATTTATAAGATGCATTCTGAATAAATCATAATGTCAGCCTACGCAGTAAACTAATATATATATTTTTTCTTGCCGTATCCTGTATCGTTGATCGATATCTATCGAAACTAATTTTCATACAAGATCGAGGATTTCCGCCGCCTGCTGTTTTTTTACAGAAATGATACAGCTGGGAAAACATGAGCATGAAATACAACATCCTGAAATCTTTTCAAGCACTCAAATAGTCAATGAAACAAGAAACAATGTGGAAACCAAAACAGAATGGCGTGATTCATGACTTGATCACTGAAAACTGAATGGAAAAGAGTGAGACACGAAAAAGATGTTTATTGACTCTCATCAACAAAAAAACATAATCGATACATGGATTCTTCTATTCTAGATTATTTTGCTTCACATTCCAAAATGTTGGTATAAGTAATGAGAACACTTGTTCTGTTGACATGATTTAGAAAAAAGTTGACCATCAGATGATGTTGGCAATGAAACATTACCAATCTCCGTAAACAATGTGATTTTCTTGACGCAAAAGAAACATCACAAACACATTTCTACACCGAGTGAGACTCAAGAAAATTCTATTAGTCATTATCCTAGGACATATCTGACATACGTACAGTCGTCATTCGATAATAAAATGATCGCAACAACACGGTTTTTTTTCAAATTTTATTTAATATTCAATCAAATTATGATCGTGGTATAGTTGCATTTGCTTTTAAAAGTCATTTTCACGAGCCATAGGACTACAACAAATCCTATATAGATTTGAGATTTGAATTGAATTTAGTTTCTGGATTTACATTTCATTCAGATTCTAGTGACAATATTGCAGCTATCGTTTGGATTTAGAATTTGTTTTCAATCCAAATACTAAACTCAAATCCAAACTATTTAATATCAATTTTTTAAGGTTTAAGACTGTTTGTTCCTTTCTGATACTTTGTCTAGCAGATCTTCATAAGATTTGGATAGTTTAAGATCAAACCCAAAATTTTGTGCATGAAATTCCAAGGTCTTGCATTCGTTTCACATCTAAAGAGGCATGCAGCGAATAGTGCAAAAATTCAATAGATCGAACTGAATTCTCTAGTCGAAATACTGTGAGAGTACAAAGTTTCGTTAAGAAATAAAATTTTTGACCATTGAGAAGCCATGGCAGAAGCACAAAATGAATGAAAATATGATTCTGATAAGGCATATGCTTTCTGTCTACACATATCCAAATAGTGACATCACTAATCATTCATACTATTAAAGTGCTCATTAATGATATCCTACCTCTAGTTGCGCGAACACTGATGCTGATGGTGGATGCCTAAATGTATGATATACTTCACAAATATCTGTTTTCTAAAATGTTTATTGTCTGACCCTTCGGCTGAATCGATCATTTTCAGTACTGGCAGCTGCTGTTGAAATTGATTCGTTCTATAAACAAAAACATATAGTTATGCACTAAGATAAGGATACTCCTATGTTATTTGTATTACTCGAATTCTACTGGATGATCTTCTTCTTGAATCAGATATATTCACTGTAGTCGCTGTTGAAGCATCTGCAATACAAGAGTTTCATTTTTGTTTTAGTAGCTAATTCGAAGCAAAGACAGGCATCATTGACAACACTAGGAGACGTGGTAGCTTCGTATAGGGCATGAATGTGAGATGTTCTATTCCGTGTTACTCTCGTCGAAATCCAAGTAAAGCAAAATGTCTCATTCTTCTTTGAATCATTCGATCATCATCAATAAAAATTCTCATTGACATTTTTCTCTATTTTGTTTTATTCTGTAGAAAAATGAAAATTTTCTGATTGAAAGTACCACAAATTAGAAAAAATTCTGAAGTATACGATCGTCTATAGTAATTATTATCATCATCATCATTGTTCAGTTTCAGAGCAAAATCAATCACACAGTCGAGATCAGCACAAAAAAAAAACTAAAACAAATCATCTAGATATTTTAACACACAAAAGTACATATGAGCCAATCAGTATTGTTTTGTTTTTACTACAATTTTGTTGCAATCAACTCGGAGTTGCATCTAAGTCAGCGTTCATCGAAACAGAAAGATTTGATAAATTTGTACAGGTGGTGATTAACATAGACTGTGAGTTGCACATTTCTTTAGACGAGGATGTGAGTGTGTTACAGAGAACACAAAATACCTACATCTATACCCGAAGCTTTTATCAATTTATATTAAAAGAAATGAAAAGCTTCAATTCGAATAGATTTTGTTAAACGCTTAGAGTTTCTATCACAACTCACCCTGATCTATGTGGTATGAAAACCAGTGTTAGATTATTTTCAAGTCAGTCTTTAATAGAGAATAAATATAACCTTCGCTATGTACATTTGTATCAAAAATATAAGTTTCGAAATATAATTTTCTGAAACATTATGTTTCTCAAAGTAATTCTCATTTATATGAATGAATTAGTTTAGATTGATAAATGGAAAGAGAAAATGAGATTGAGTCGATGCAGCAATATCTTTTCCTCTGTTCCCTCTACTTCAAAATACTTACATTTTGATTGTGTTTCTCGAATATAGATAAGATGATTCCAATCAATTTGATTATTATCAATAATGATAGTTTTATTTGTGTCTTTTTCAATAAATTGTTTAACTTTTTGTTGAATTTCATTGATTTTTTGTTTAAGTCGGTTAATATCATCTTCAGCAAAATTTGCTTCTTTTCGAAGATAACGAATTTCTCTTGTGATTGGTTCAAGTTGTTTTGTCATTATCAATCGTTGTTTATCAATTAATTCAATAAGTTCATGATGAGCTTTTTCTGCTGCCTTTTCAACTTTTTTGACTGTTGCTTTTTTCCATTGTTCAATTTGATCAAAAAGATCCAATGATAAATAATTTGATTTTTCTAATTTTTGAATTTGTTCAAGAAGTTCATCATGTGATCTCACTATTTCATTATCAAATTTTATGGATAGCTGTTGTACATGTTCTTTGAAATCCTTGCGACAAAAGTATTTTTTACATGCAGCACAAATGGATGTTGCCTGAGTCTTATTGCATACTGAACATAAATTTAATTCATTTAATGTTGCCATTCTTCGAATTATTTTATTTATTATGTAACTTTGTTGATATAAAATGAATTCATTTGAATATTTATAAAAAATAAAATAAAATCATGATTTGCTTAACATTCTTGCTTTATGCTTCAAGTCGAATCTCGATCATTTGTTTCCAATATGACTCTATATATCGGCAAAAACTAGTAATGCGTCACCTCTAATACCGGACAATTGAAAAAACGAGTTGTAATATCAATACTTTCGCCCTATAGGGCCTAACTGAAAGTGAGGAAAATCTCTTCTTTGTTCTAAGAATAGGTGATTTTACTCACATTTGTCAATCATTAACAAAACTTTGACAGCAAAAAAGAGAGTGTATTTTACTGATTTTTGTCATCGCGTTACGTTAATTTAACCGAAATAACGAACAAATAAATGATCTTTTTGAATCATTTTATTTTTTCGTTGGATACTCCGTACTGTCGGCTACAAAGTTTTTATGGATCGGCTTTTCCAATGTAGTGCGCATCCAGAGAGAAACAGCAAACACAAACGTCACCCTCAACTTTTTGTCCAATTTTCATCATCGCGTTTCGCTCAGTATTTTTGTCAGAATTTTCAAACGACTAAGCCAAACGAACTCGGGTTTTCAGGAATTGCGACAGAGTAGAGAGACGCCCCATTTGATGAAAGAATAATATTTCTAAGTAGTCTAGTTTCTAAGAAAAATGAAAACAATCGTGGACAAAACGTCATCGCGTCACGCTTGTGAAAGTCTATATATGTGTTTAATAGAAGCATAGGGACATGATTACATCAATCGTCAATAGATTTCTGTGCTTATAGCTTAATAATTACACAAATCTTGATCATCAAATTCAATCGTATGGAATATTTCTTCAATTCTATCCAAGAAAGAATAAAGTCGAATGAAATAAATTAAATTCACTGAAAACATTTCGATCAAGAGAATCTCACAAACTCGATTAAACTTCATTGTCATCAAAATAAATTTATGTTGAAAATTTTCATTGTTGTAAAAAAAATATTGTTTAGCAAAAATTAAGTATTTTGATATCGCGTGAAATTTTCTTTTATTCAATATTTTTATCTGCTGCTATGCATTGATTGGTTAGAGTACATAAATGCAAGGCAAAGGAAAAAAAACGGATGACAGAGAATTTTAAGTTCTATCACAATTTACAAGTATTGGTAAAAGTTTTATTTTTATGATTATCATAACTGAAAGCAAGAAAAAAAGTAGTGGTTTCCAAGACTTATCTATCCAAGGTCTGTTCGCTATAATCAAATTATTTTCTAACAAATAAATGAAGCATGTGACTGTACTAGTTAATTAGGAAATACGCACACACCCCGTCATCTCGCTATATGAAAAATATTGGTTACTTCCGATAGTTTAAAGAAAATCGTGAGAAACAACGTTCAAAATGAACAATATGACCAATTTTTGTTTCGTGTTAAACTGGGCGAGTTTTTGGTTCCGACTCGTATAGAGACTATTCTCACGCATATTTGACTGTATTGTGTACAACTGAATCGATGTTGATCCATCTTGGCTCAAAATGTTCGCAGCTTTTCTCGAATTCATTTTAACAATCATTTCTTTGTTTGAATGTTTTTCAAATAGTTGTCATGCGTCTTCGACGGACAACAAAACTTTATTTTCATATCAGCTAATAGATTTGAATATTCACTTTTCTTCATTATAGATGTTAGCCAAGAGACGTGATTCAATTAAATAAATTATCAATAAGATTAATTTAATACATAATATTAATGAAAAGAATCACTTAATACTCATTGTTAAGTTTAAGTTTTTCTATTTAACAATGAATTCACACAAAATTAAGTTTACATGATTGAGTCAGATGAAAACTATTAAATCTTTAGTCTTTCTCTACTTGAAAGAGAACTGAACATTATTTAACTTTACTCATTTAAATCACCACCTCTGCTTTCTATTAACGGTAGTGGAAAAAAATCTTGCTCAAATTTGATTGGTTGAAGCGCCAAAAGTTCCTGAATCATCAGATTCGACTCGGGATCTTCTTCACTTTCTCTAAATAAAACATAGCGTTGTCTGGGTGGTCCGGAATGTAGAGTACAATTTTCCTCCAAAACGGATCGAACGACACCATCGTGAGTTCTGATTGGAATAGAGAAAAACGCGAAACTAAATAGTAGTCCTGTAACATAATCAATTAAACTTAATTTTATTTGACTCAAGTATTAAGTAGAAAAACTTAAACTTATTGTTAAGAGATCAATTGTTAACTTGTTGATCCCTTTCATCAATTTTACAAATTTCTTAACAATACTTAATTCAAGTTCAA